TGGTCAGGGCCCCTCCCCGGGCAGATGGAGCTCGTTAGCCCTGTAAGGCAATCCATCTACGTCCTGAGGACCTCGCTGCCACCGTCCAAGCGTGCTTGGCCCCGGCAGATGAACCTCAGGATTAAAGGGTGGGCTCAGTTCCGCGCACACTGTGTCTCACCTAAAAAATCCAATGCGCAGGCTGGAAGGGGTAAGACCTTCCCCGGTTCTTCGTTCGCGAAGAGACTGGCCATATATACATTCTGGAGCGCTAACCATGCATTTACACTCACTGCTTCAGAATGTGGTCTCAATAATGGTCACTGATTATGCCCAGAAATTTGTTTGACTGTGTTTTCCAATAAAGATTTTGCTACCAATCCGTGATTCGTTTTGTGTATTTCATTTTCCTATTGCAAAGTATATTCGGTATTTCATGTAGCTGCAAGATGTCTCGTACCTGCAAGATGCATGTGGCAGAATACTTCTTCCCAGCATTTACATCAGTTTCACTCTTTGATGTTACCTCTTTTTCAGATTCGTTACGCTGGTGCTGCTGACAGTTCAGTTCAGTTCATCTTCTATCAACCTATCATTCACCGATGGAGGGAAACTGACTTCTTTCCTTGTTCGGCATCCTGTGGAGGAGGTAATGAATTACCACTGTAATCCAGAGAGTCATTTGCATACAGGACTTGTCCCAGCTGCTGCCCTTAGTTTTGGATCTTTGAAATGGGCAAAATCCGAAAATGAAAATAGTTACAACTAAATGAAGGGAGCAATTTAGCAAAATGGTAGTAGGCTGTAGTTTTTTAGCACTGTGCCAGACTCCATACATAAAGTACATCTTGATATCCATGTCTGCATTTAATGCTACAGCTTTCGAACATAAGGGCTGCTGGGATTTGAGACTGCTTTGGAATCACAAGATGTCTCCATTTGTCCCCTGTCTATACTGAAACTGAGGGCACAACACTTGGAGACCAAGAAATCTCAGCCTTTGATTCTTCTTTTTTGTTCTAGGCTTCTGAATTTTCGTTTGACCATTCTGGTTATCTTTTATAACCATATGTGGATATCTGTTTTCCTACTACATGTGATTTACATTGCTGTTTTCAATCTGGTCTGTAAATCAACAGCTGCTATGTGCAAAAGCACTGAAGCAAACTGAAATTGGTTTGCTTTTTACCAAACCAGAACTTGAATGCATTTCAGAGAGAAACAGGAAGAGCACCACATCTCATATTATTTATTCCACCATGTATTGCAGGTTATCAACTGACATCTGCTGAGTGTTTTGATCTGAGAAACAACCGGGTAGTAGCAGATCAATACTGTCACTATTATCCTGAAAATATCAAGCCAAAGCCAAAACTTCAAGAGTGTAATCTGGATCCTTGTCCTGCAAGGTCAGTCAGCTTGAATTTTAAGAGAGGCTGAGGTCTAAATGAGTAAAAGTAGAAAAATATTCTGTTGCTATTGCACAGTGTCATTTATCCTATATAATTCAACCTCTTTCTTATGTGAAAATGCACTATGTAGAAGAACACCTCTGTTTAGCACCTTCACATTGGAAGGACTGATTTGAAATGGTTGTTTCTTCCCTTCAAAATATGTTTTGCCTCATTAATCATTATGAAGTACAAGAAAACAAATGGTACCTGATACCATCCCAAAGATCAACAGGTCTTTTAAGTGTTAGTGACATGGGAAAAACTCTTCTTTAGTGAAAATGTTGTTGGAAAATTACTCTCATCACAATCAGAGGAATTATTTTTATATTTCTTGATTTTTTTTTATTTTCTCCTTTATAAAAAGCTTGCTTTTGGTTATGGCAGCTTGTAAGAATGTAATGAATAAATTTTTTATAATTATCGATATCCTTCTGCCCTGCACAAAAGTCTCCTCTGTGCTACCCCGCAGAATCACAGAATGGATAAAGTTGGAAGGGACTACAGTAAGTCATCTGGTCTATCTCCCTGTTCAAGCAGGATCATCCTAGAGCGCATTGCACAGGATTGCATCCAGGTGGTTCTTAATATGGTTAATTTACCTCTCACAGTACCAACGAGAAAGTAATTTTATGTAGTTGCTTTATTTATTTATTTTTAAATTCTAATCTGCTTTTTTTTAAAAATACAATTCTATGTCAAGTATGTTATTTGCCTTTGGAATATATGGATATTTTTCATACTTCTCCCTCTTTTAAATATCATTTAAAGTATAATTTAAAATATAATTTTAAATGATATATTCTCAAATGGTAGGACAGATGACTGTACAGTGCATGGGAGGAAAGGAAAAAGCAGTTTTTGTATTATATAAGACATACCAAGGCAAAGTTGTTGATACAAAGACCCTGAGGGGAGGGAGAGTCATTTAGAAGTACAGTTATGCCATCCCAGGGTACATGCTGTTACAGAGAGGAAGTGGCTTTTTGGAAACATCCTCACAGAATGCCAAATTGCAAATGATTACTTTCAACAGTGCCATTGTAAAGAATTCCAGAATCAACAACTCAGAGAGAAAACCAGAGGAAATCTGTGGTAACTTCTGGCTTCCTTACAGTCAGGAAGAGGGTAGGTGAAGCAGAACAGTGGGGTCAGAGGCGTGAGCAAGGAGGCCATCGTGGCTCTGCAGTGTCTTTACTGTATGGGAGCTGCTCTGCTCAGTCAGTATAAAATGAAGATGTTAATTTTTTCCTGGCAAACCCAGTTCCAGTGAGGCATAGCTGATTAGTGGTTGCTGACTGTTCCTATGGTATGTCAGTGAATGCCACAGAAGATAATCGTGGAAGACCACAGTGGCACTGAATAAAGCAATTGAGGGGGGGTACTATAGGAGAGTTTACATTAAAGTTTTCAACAGAGGGTAGGCTAAAAGAGAAGTTTAAATGAATACCAGGAGTATTGTGTAGGTCTGCAATTAGTTGCCTATTTAGGCTTAGTGCATAGTAATGTGTAGCAGTTATTAATATAATAAATAAATAAGTCCCATGGGGACCATGGTGAACACCAACCTGGTGTGTAATGAATCTGTCTTTATTCAAACAGTCACAGCTTAAATAGTAGTTTCAAATGATCCCACGTCACACAGGTAACTTCCTAAGCCAATCCCATACAAGCATTCAAGTGAGCATGTGCAACAGAGTACTTAAAACTACAATTCCCAGAACGCCTCTGCAGCACCTGGTATAGCCACACCCTACAGTAATGTTTTACTATATTGTGCTTACTATGGCAATAATTAGCAGTATTGCTGGCATCATGAGTAAAAAGCTTAGGCTCAATGAACATGGAAAATGAAACCAACATGCTCAGAGGAGAAGTGAATGTTTATTTATCAAACATATATAATTTATGCATACTCATTTTCCATGTTAAGTAAAGGTGGCCACCTTTACTGTCCTCCTGTGTAATACCAGTAATTAGTGTTCTTGCAGGATATGTGACGTGTAATGACACTGAGTGAGTTTTCATCCCTACATATTATCAATGCCCTATACATCCTCTCTCATCAACTGTTTTTAGGATCTGGCTCATGCCTAACAAAGATAAAAGAAAAGATCTGTTTACTTACACTCCATCAGTCCACCCTTGACTGGTGAATACATGTGCAATACATATATAATGTCAACTGACGCAAATAGCACCCAGTTCAATCTAGTCCACTCCCCATTTAGGAGGCAAAACCTAACATTAATATCTTACATATTTAATTAATCGCAAATCTTTTAACTACACAAACTTCACAGACTGGAGGGGTTTTAGCTTTCATCAATACCCTCCTATCTGGTATCCTTTAAGGAAGGAGGAATGCAATATTTTTTCTACTTAGACAAAAAGTTTGGTTATATTTGACTGGGTGTGCTGAACACTTAGTTAGGATAACTCTTAAGTGCTATAAGCAGAAGATACTATTTCTTTCATAATTTAAAAGCATTTTCCAAAAATCAATTTTTACAAATATGAAAAAGGCTATTGCCACACTCATCATTCATTTACATGCCAGGATACTCTCAATATTATTTCTAGATTTCATCCTCAGCTTTGCCAGATGTGCTGTTCTGCTTTTTTACCAATCTCCCCTGTTTTTTGCCCATTGCTGCTATGTGCTGATGTGGGCATTTCTGAGTCACAAAAGCTCTACTTGTCTCTCTCTAGGAGATTTCAATGGTGCATAAAGATTTCTAAAGGCAGGTTCAGCAAAAATTCTAACTTCATGAAGACATTGTCTAAAAAATTTTGTATTAGCGAGGCTCTGGCATATAGGCTTCTTTTTAACACTTTAACTCCAGGAATTTGCCTAGAGTTTTATCTGTAAACCTGCCACAAGAAGTAATGTTAATAGCTGTGGAAACTTTGGGGAGAAATCTCTAGTTCAAACAAAATTTTCCACACTCCAGGATCTGAAGGAACTCTCAGATATCCACAGTTTATGGAGTTCTCCAGCAAAATTGCAAACTCCTCTTCCTATTCATCAGAGTTTTTCTTCTGACATTCTTATTTGACTATCCACACAGTGGTGGCAGAGGTGGGCATCAGCAAAAGAAATTTAAATTTAAATAAAATAATACTTTTTAGTTGTTAATTTTCAGGTGGTTTAACAAGAGCACTGAAGTACAAGTAAAAGTCTATAAAAGACGCCGTTCAGGCCATTCAGAGTGATCCTGAATAGTGAGAAGTCCCCAGTATACTTGGTGATGTGAAAGTGCATACAGTTTCCTGGGTGGCAGTGCAAGATATGTGCATGAAACTTGCATATACTTCCTTCAAAGAAAAATTACGTAGTAATGAGTAAATATGCATTATTAAAAGGGTAACACAGAATATCTTGATTAGTAACAGAGGTCCCCTCATTGCATTTCAAGTTGGCAGCTGAAGCAGAAAATTGCCAAATGCATACTACTTTGTTTGTCATCAGTTTCTCTAGAGATATTATATTCTATAACAATCATCGTCCAAGTGTTCCCGTTTTTACTACATTCATTCTAGAAGATGAACAAAACTGGAGTGCTGGTATGTTCCTGAAATGATGAGCTGCACTTTCTGATTTACACAGTAGGAGTCATAGACCTGTGGTGATGAGAGGGGTCTGAGACACCGTGGCTCATTTATTGTTATTGCCTTTAACTAGGACATATGAAGGATGCAAACTTTATTTTGAATAGTCTCTCACATAAAATATCCGATATTTACCACTGATACTGAAGTTTTTTACAACATCCCAGCTTCTTCCATGGATGTGGCACACTAGTCATGACTATGCTCTTTCCTGTTCTGTGCCTCAGGCAAATGTTCATTTCTGTTCTTTAGTATTTTTACCTAAGCTCTTTTGCTGCAGAGAGGGTGAGAAAGCTTTTCTGCCTGACAGTGCTTTCTGAAGATTGGTTGTGTCTGGTAGCTGGATCTGGTCTCAGTTTCCACAGTCAGTGAATGCCTATGAATGATTCTAAAGAGAGCAAGAGATGGCCATTCCAGGGGAAGACATTTAGCTAAAGAATCAGAAAGTAGAACAAAACTTTGCCACCAGCATGGCTGAAGTTGCATGTGCTCGAAAAGTGAGACTTGTATAACCGAAGAGTGTGTTGCCTGCAAATGTGACAGCACAGTCAACAAACATCAGTCATTCCAGATGTACATTTATAAAGGGTGATTTTTTTAACAGTTTAGAATGTAGCAAGAAACTACTAAGGCTGCTGGAGAAAAGAACTAAAGTGGTGCATTATGCATGGAAAAGAGAGTGGGGAGCAGTCATTTAGGAGGCCAAGCCCAATTCAGAGTAGCAGGAAAGGAATTGCAGGGTAAATTTTCAGGGAGGCTGAGTTGGAAATAGCGATACTATTTGACTCAAAATGACAGAACTTATGTCTCCAGATACAGGAGTTGTAGATGGAGAAGGAGTTGATAGCAGTGGCAATGTTCTGCTAGTCATAATCAGGGTCACCTGAGTTCAAGAGCAGGATAAAGATGACCAGCAGATATTCCCAGTGCCTAAATAGGCAAATTTCTTCTCAAAACAGGTAGTCAAAACTTTGAATTTTTGGACAGGGCAAAAGTCACTTAAATCAAGCTGGAAAATTGTTTTATCAGAGAAGGCAGGGAGGGTAGACCAGGAAGCATTATTCAAGCTGTTAAAAGATGTGAACAGCAGAGCAAATTCGGTTCAAGGAGGACAATTCATATTAAAGAAACATAGAAAGAAATAAAGAACGGAGCTTGTCAGGATGCATCAGATAGCAAACTGTAAGGTGTGCAAATATATCGTGGTCTGCTGTGTGCATCAGATACAGGAATCGGTCTACCCTGTATGAAGTTAATGGAAAACGAATCTATTTTAAGCTCTAGAAGAGACCAAAACTGCAGCAAGTAGTAATTTACATGGATTTTCACTGGATATTCAGATGTTA